GCAGCTAAATATTTTTAGAAAATATTTAGCTGCAATTTTCTAAGATATTCAGCTGCAATTTTCGAAAATAACACTACCTCGTACTGCTAATAATAAATAATAATAATAAAAATAACAAATAATAATAAATAATAAAAAATTATAACATCTAAATTCTCACATATCTAACATTCGGTGCATCAGTTGCAAACCGCGTGCACAACTTCCCGGTGGAATGTCTCTGGTCATCGTAGAAATCGATACCTTGCCGCAGTAGATTGATGAACGCCCTCAGTCGAATTTTCTTCGTTAGCGCCTCGCCACAAAGACCCAACATGTTGGCCTGAAATTGAAATCAGGTCAGTTTTTTTCCTCAGATACCATGAAATATTAGCCTCTCCCGCTACCTACCCAAAACCAATCACTTTCAAATCAACACAAACACAAACCGAAATGAAGAATCCACTAGCGTTGACCACACCACAAATTACGAACATCAACGACCAAAACCGCGCGTCACGACCCAGCTGATCCAGTGGCTCACTGAATACCTGCAAACCAAACCAAATCAAACTACAAACGTACATAAATACTAATAACAAATAATAAATCTAATTCAAGCACTTACATTAAATATCTGCGAATAGACCAGTGCAAAGAAGGGCGGTACCAGACCGCTCATACAACAGCCCAAAAGTCCAATCGATAAATACGGCCAATTTTCGCGATTTACCAACAGAATCTTCTTCAGCGGTGTTGGCGCCAACGCAGACTCCTAAAAATACAAACTACAAACATCGAAGATCAAAATACAATAATTATAAGAATAACGAATAACATTGACAAACAATAAATAGCCACAACAAATAATAAAGACACTACCTAAAATACAATCATTATCACCTCAACTACCGTAACAAAAATCGCTTCAAGACCACAAATTCAAACCTCGGCTTCCTGTTGCAGCTCCATAATCTGCAGCGCACTCGATCGCCCACTCTTTGACTGATAAAAACTTGACGCCTTGCGTCGAATCATTTTCGAATCGCGTGAGACTGATGAAGTGGGCGGGCTCTTTGCTGGCTCCGCCCCCTCGTCCGATGCTGGCTCCGCCTCCTCCTTGCCGTCCTCTTCCTTGGGTCCATCTGCAACGCGAACAAACTACAATAATAATAAATAATAATAAATACAACAATAAATAAAATTAAATAAATAAAATTCGCACCTTTGTGTTGATTGATAGATTGTGCCATCACCATACCGTAATAGAGTCCCTCGCTTTGGCATAGTTCCAAATGTTTGCCCTTCTCCACGATTCGGCCGTTTTTGAATACGTAAATGACGTCCGAGTCGCGTATTGTCGATAATCGATGGGCGATCGTTATTGTGGTTCGCCCCTTTTGAGCCTCAAAACCAACCAGACATTCTCTTGACTCTGTCCATTAACTCCGCCTCTAGGTTCCGCCCACCCCTTTCAGACCTCCCAATAAATAGTAATAATGACCTGTTCCAAAGCCTTCTGCACGCACGCCTCACTCTCCGTATCCAACGCCGACGTCGCCTCGTCGAGCAATAAGATTTTCGGATTCTTTATCAAAGCTCTCGCGATTGCGATGCGTTGCTTTTGACCTCCTAATAATGATACCAATAAATAATAAACCACAATGCTCGCGTTCTGGCCAGCAAATAATGTACACAATAATATACGTATACATCTTATGTACACTTATAAGCAATATATTCATAATATTGAGTATTAAATATACCTATGGCATACTTATATAACATACCTATAATATAATATACCTATATAATATACCTATAATGTACCCATATAATATACCTATAACATATACCTATGCCTATAATATACCGATATACCTAGAATATACCTTTAATAATAAATAATATATCTATAATAATAAATAATGTCGATAATAATAAGTAATATACATAATAATGAAAAATGCACCAGACAACTGCACGCCCCGTTCACCGACCCGTGTATCCAACCCGTCTGGCAGCATCTGAATGAAATCCCACGCATTTGCCTAAAAATATTACTATAGTGTACTGTTTCGTCGTAGACGATCATACGGCCAGAGAAATAGCGTGTGGTAGACAAGCATACGGTTGACGAGATAGTATTACTACGACAAGTACAATGACAAACGAACATAGAATCAACGAGATAGTATTACCACAAGTATAATGACAGACAAGCATAGAATCAACGAGATAGTATTACTACGATAAGCATAATGACAGACAAGCATAGAATCAACGAGATAGTATTACTACGACAAGTACAATGACAGACGAACATAGAATAAACGAGATAATATTACTACAACAAGTATAATGACAGACGAACATAGAATCAACGAGATAGTATTACTATGACGGGTATAATGGCAGACAAGCATACAATTAACGAAATAGTATTACTACGACGGGCATAATGGCAGACAAGCATACAATTGACGACATAACATTAATAAAATAGCTACTATGGCAGACGCACATAGAATCAACGAGACAGTATAATGACCGTTCTCTGATTGACGATCATACAGTGAGCTCAGCTTACAAAAAAATGCCCGAAACATTCAAAATAATTTATTTTTCATGGGTTAACCGGCACAATACTAACAAATACCAATACATAATAATCATGAATAAAATAATAATAAATAATACAAAACCAACCAATTTACACGCCTTAATAATATCGTCCCTCGTGGCCTCGTCACGTCCCAACAGAATATTACTTTCCAAAGTACCATCGAACAGCACTGGCTCTTGCGACACTATTCCAATGCTATCCCTCAGACGTCTCACGTTCAACGATCGCAGATCGTATCCATCCAGGCATATCTTAATTAAATTAATAATTAATATTACATATAATAAATAATACGTAATATAAATAATAATACTAACCATTCCCAGATCAGGATCGTAGAATCTGAGCAAAAGATTAATAATTGTCGATTTCCCACACCCACTGGCGCCCACTAGGGCTATCCGGCTTCCCGACGGCACGTCCAGGCTGATTCGGTCCAATATCTGCAAATGATAATAATAATAATTAATAATAATGAACAACAACAAATAAGAAATAATAATAAATAATAACAATAATAAATAATAACAGCAATAAATAATAATAAGTAATAATAGTAATAAATACCTGAATATCTTTGCGAATCGGATATGAAAACGAGACGTTTTGTATTGAGATATTCCCTTTAAGCTTCGACGGGAATATACCTGCGTTTGAGTACGGGTCTATTAGAGGAATCTGCAACAATTATTATTTTTATTATATATAATAATTAGTAATGAATAAAAATGAACAATAATAAATAATACATACATTATTAATTATCGATAAAACTTTGTGTGATGCGCCGCGAGCCATTGCGAACGTGGCCATATGAGGCAGAGCACCACCCAACGCCATGCTTCCTGACATCACTGAGAAAAACACCTGCAACATTTATTATTTTATTTATTATTATATATAATTATATTTATTATTACATATTATNTATTATTATTACCGTAAACACGGCTCCTCGATCAAACGTTGGGTCACCAACAATCAACACTGAACCGTACCTGAAGTAGAATTTTTCAAAAATAATTTACTATCAATTTATTACTTATTACAGCCATGTTCCACCCACAAGCCATCACTAAATAATCACAGCCAGTACAACCCAAACCCCAACCAACCACTCAACATCGTACAACCACAACAACCACCTTAGCGCAAGCCTTTTATAACGCCAAAATTTCCCGCCAACTTCGCATTTGATGCCAAAATTTCCCACCAACTTCACATTTGATCACTTTTGGTGATCAAAATCGATCGCGATCGTGATCGATCAAAACTGATCAACACTTACTGATCAACCGACCACTTTTGGCGCTGTCGCCGCCTTACTCTACCTAGTTTCTATGAGTGCAAATATCCACTACACAAATCTATAGCAATTTCCTCACAATCCATTACTATTTATATTTGCTATTAAGCTACCAGAACGCCACCGCGTACGACGTGTACATCACCAAATAAGACAGTCCCATTCCGATGCCCATATATAAATACTTCAATCGACCTGTTTTACGACCATCTTCCAATGCTTTTTCAAATCTGCAATTATATACAATAAATATACACAATAATAAATAATAATAATAGTAATAAATAATAATAAAACACCTGTATATCTCAAACGACGCCCCATTCAGCGAATGCACCGTCCGTATCGAGCTGAAAGTCTCCTCAGCAATCGCGCCCGCCACTGCATACTTCTCCTGTTCCACCTTGGTTCGACTCGATGCCATTCTACTCATCCACGCACCCGTCAGAGCGCTCAACGGGGCAAATGCCGTCATTACCTGAACTTATCAACTTACTCTATCATACACTAACAACAAAACAACGCACCAGAGTCATCCTCCACTCGTACACGAACCCGACCACGAATCCAGCTATAAAAGCACACACCAGTTGTATCATCAGTGATAACTTATCACCCACTCCCTCTCGCACACGTTCCAAATCACTGCAATTAACACACAAAACACATATAAGTATATAACTATACGACACAATACAATATAAGTTGTCTATATATGAGAATATAAGACAAGTATATAAAAATATATGNATGATACATTACATGAGATAAAAGATACATTATATAGTAGTGATACTTTATACTAATTATTAATAGTATATAGTATAAACAACAACAATATATAATAATAAGGCACTCAGTAAGTCTGGCAGTGAGATTGCCAGTCTGCTGGGTGTCGAACCACCCGATCTGCTGCCTCAATATGGCCTCTAGGTAATTCTTCCGGATACGTTGTGTCGTTCGCTCGGCGAAACTCTCCCAACAGGCGATCTGAAGTATAATAATTATTAATATCTAATTAATACATGATAAATAATAATAACAAATAACCTGAATATACGACGACACGAACATAAAAATGCCAATCAGTAAGTAGTACATGCAATACGTTCCAACCGAAGCATCGAAATCCTCCCTTAAATAAACAACAATAATAACAATAAATAATATATAATAATAAATAATATTACTTGGAAATGGGCCAAATCCCCGAACTGTTGTCCCATTCGAACGGGTGTCCCGTGACGAATTCTGAGTTTTGTGCTCTCAGGAATACGGTAGTCATTCCGCCCAGCACAATCGATAGCAGCGGAAAACCGGCACCATGCCCGACTGCAGCCAAAAATCCGACCACAATCAATACGTAGTCAGTGATCGTCGTGTACGATAACTGCAATATTTACATAATAAATAAATAATAAAATAACAAAAATAATAAACAATAATAAAAACAATAATAATAAATATTCACTGACCAGTCCTTTCTTGGAAACTGAAGCGCCTCCTGAAGACTTTTTGCCATTTGAACTGAAATTATACACTTTTAATAACAATAATAATAAATAATAATGTATAATAATAAATAATAATTATTATTATAAACCTAACCTTCCCAACGACTCGTATGATATTACTGAAGATGCTTTTCTCACCAATGGCGTCTTCTCACCAATTTCCATCTTCTTTATTTATATTCACCGCAATTATTATTAATTGTTATTCCCTAAAATTAAAATAATAATAAATAACAATAATAAGTAACAAACACAACAACACAATAAATCAACTCAACCAACTACCAATCAATCTCATACTATTTCCAAATGAAATGATAACGCCGTCATATAAGTGATTTGATAACAACAATATATATATATATAATAATATACACAACAATAAATAATATATAATGATAGCAGTAATGTACTAGATAAGAGGTATTTGCAATAGATAAGCCTAAGCAAAGAGACACGACACATCACAGCTCATTGATAAGCCTTAGAGAGAAATGACCATCAATCAATTTTCATTCTATAATAAATATAACAACAATATTAAATATAATAACAATAAATAAAATAATAATAATAATAATGCACGCACTTCAAATATTCAACCGACACACCGCACCCCGCAAATTCAACCCCCCATTCAGCGCACGTCACTTTAGCGCCTACGTCCCAAACTCTTCTTAGGAAGACCAAATTGGGTTGGCGGACAATTGGCCGCGGTGCCATGAACCTCCGTAACCATCGTCGTAATATATTAACTCGTAACATCACCCAATCACCCAATCGTATCAACCACAATTATCAACTATCCACACTAACACAATATTGAATATTCAAGCAGCACTACCCACTTAATTTGCGCACCGCAACAATCAGCGCATCGTCAATCANCACCACCACCACAAAATCCTCGTACAGTATTCTAATCCGCTTTATTCATTATTATTACTTATTATAATAATATTATTATTGACATAATTTATATCACAAAATGATTATCAATTCAATAAATAATAATAGCAGCTTATGTGCATCTGCCATAATCAATCCATCGTCACGCCTTTTATCACCGCTATCCGCCTTATCAGTGACGTCATTATCGCTACTCGTATTATCAGTGACGTCATCATCACCACATGCAGTAACTGCAGCAGCACCTGAAATTTTTCACGATCACGCAAAACTGCTGGCAGGTAAACATAATAACTATAGAAAATAACAATAAATAAATAATAATAAATATAATAATAAAAATAAAAATTCAGAGTATCCCAACCATTTGAATGCGCGATGTGCAAACGCCTTCGACTGCGATCCTCAAGGCTCTTCTCTCAAATGCGTTCCACTATCCACCATTCGCGACTGTATTGCAGACTGTCCAAACGCCGCAGATGAAAGTATTTTTTATTACTATTATACAATACAATAATAGTAATAAATAATAATAAATACTAAATATAATAATAAATAATTTCAGAGTGTGGTACCAATGAGGTTCTATGCGATCGTCATCTAAATTCAGGCTGTGGGAAATGTGCCCCAAAGGATTCACTTCAAACCTATTGCGCCGACCACAGATGTATTATTTATTACAGTTATTATTATATATAATAA